ATTTATATGGGATATCCGGATCCTAAGTTTTGCTTATGTGCTTTTTTGGGGCCCTATTAGAGCAGCGGCAGTAGCAACGGCAGGCCATCAACACATCGACAATAGAATTCGGAATCACGAACGATATCTGTAGCAAAACTCTATAATGCGGAGTCAGCGATAACAGCAGCAGCAAGGCCACAGCGCCAGCGATGTTCATACTTGCAACAACGACAGTACAGGACATGACCCCCTAAACCCTAAGCCCAAAACCCTAAGGTTTAGGGTTTAGGGTTTAGGGTTTAGGGTTTAGGGTTTAGGGTTTAGGGTTTAGGGGTTTAGGGTTTGTTCTGATTGTACTGGTCTTCTACTAGGGGCCTCAGTAGTATCCTTGTTTATCATGTTCCTTTTAAGGGCCTCTTATATTATCAAAACTGAATAGTAGGAACAAGCTCACCCTTATTGTAAAGGGGGGTTTACTGTAGAACCTGGTCCACCTTCACACACGCCCCAAAAAAACAAGCCTGAGCCCATAGCCCTTGTCAAACCCTAAACCCTTAAAACAACAACCGTACACCCTAAACCCAAACCAAAGAAAGTCCTAAACCCTAAGCCCTAAACCCAAACTAGAAACAAAGTCCTAAACCCAAAACTCCGAAGCCGAAACAACCCAAAAAAAGGGTTTAGGGTTTAGGGTTTAAGGTTTAGGGTTTACGGTTTAGGGAGCACCGCCAAAAAGATGCCAGGCCCGCCAGTGGAAGACCGGGTTCGGCCGTAAAGCGCGATGGCCCAGGGCCCAGCTGAAGGGGTTAATTAGGGTTTAGGGTTTAGGGGTTTACGGGTTTAGGGGTTTACCAGCACCCCCCAACTACCCTCTATTATACCCTAAATACCCACTATTAAGGACCATAAGGGCTCCATTAAGGGGTACTTGGGGGGTGCTGGTAGGGTTTAGCGTTTAGGGTTTAGGGTTTAGTGTTAGAAGTATGGGCCTAATATGGACCCTAGGCCTTTCTAGGGACCCTTAAACGGTTTAGGTTTAGGGTTTAGGGTTTAGGGTTTAGGGTTTAGGGTTTAGGACTTAAGACTACATATGGTAATAAGGATCCCAGGCTGAAGGGCCCATACTAGGGGCCAATGGTTGCAACCTTAGGTTTCAGGATTTGAGGGTCGTTAGATTGGGTTTAGGGGTTTAGGGTCTGGGGGTTCAGGCTAAGCTAGGGTTTAGGGATTTAGGGTTCGGGGTTTAAGGATCGGGGGTTTAGGGCCGTTTAGTTTAGGGTTTGGGGCTGTAGTCTGGAGTTTAAGGCTTAGCTAAGATTAAGGGTGGTGTAGGGTGTTTTGCAGTTTAGGCTTAAGGGTCTGTAGTTTCTAGAGTTTAAAGATGTTGAAGGTGATTTCGGGTTTAGGGTTTTTTAAGGGTTAAAATGTTAAGGGTGTTTTGGGGTGAGGGTTTAGGGTTTGCGGTGGTTCAGAATTCAGGGTTTAGAGTCTGCGGTTTGGGGTTGAGGGTGTGTCACTTGAGTTCGCTCGGGTATGGAACACCCCGGGCCGCTCAATCCTAAACCCTGGTCCCTCATACCCTTGCAAGCCCCAAACTCCCAAACTCCTCCCTTAAACATGCATACTGTACCCTAACCGAACATCCCAAACCTCCAAACCCTGAGCCCTAAACCCTGAACCCTGCCTGATACGCTAAGTTTACATTCTGAAGCCTTCATACCCTAAGCCCTAACCCCCAACTAAAAAGTATTAAAACCAAAACCCAAACAACAAATATCCTAAACCCAAACCCCTAATTTTAACAAGTCCCAAACCCTAAACCTTAAACCCTAAACCCTTTATCCAAATGAAAAAATCTTAAACCCTCAACCCCAAACCCAAACTAAATGTCCTAAACCCTAAACCCAAACCTAAAACAAAAGTCCTAAACCCTAAACCCCAAAACCAAGTTAGAAAAAGGTCCCTAAACCCTAAACCTAAACCCTAACTAAAAGAAGGTCCGAAGCCGAAGCCCTATACCCCATAGACGCCCTTAAAGGAGCCCTTAAGGAACCCTCAACCCTAGACCCTGCAAGTGTTCGAAGGACACTTGGTGTTGCTCAGCGCGAACTCTCCGGCTTCGCAGCTATTCAGATCAAGGCGCAGGGGTAGTGCCGGTAAAACAAGGATCTCCGAGCCGTGCTGCTGTGCCGCACTGCTGTGATACCTGGACCTCGTAACCCCACTCCGAGATCTCCGATTGAGCCATTCCTACCAGCACGTCCCACCTTGGGTCGTGCATGGTAGCGGAGCCCAGAGGGGCTTCAAGTGGTGAAGAAGATTCAGGGCAAGAAGGCAGTTGTGTGATACGGCTCCCACAACTGAATCATGACCGGGTCGGAAAGTGCTGGGAAGGAGCATGGGCCTCCTTCTTGGAATGGCGACGCAGCTTCCTTCCAGGAGTTTGAGGAAGCATGCTTACTTTGGGAGCAATCGGTGGCGTGGGAGAAGCGCTATCTATGTGGGCCTCGTCTCGCGGCCCAGCTATCGGGAGCCGCCAAGAGATATGTAGCGGGGCGACATCCGAGTTGGCTTGCTCATGTGCGGGGCGTTGAGGATCTGTTGGCGCATTTGCGCAGCAGCCTGGGGAAACCCCAGGTCTCAGACTTGACGGAGCACTTGAGCCGCTACTTCAAGGGCTCGAGGCGGCGATCCGGAGAAAGCGTGAACGAGTACATCTCCAGGAAAACAGAGATATACCTCCGGGCTTGCCAGGCCTTCCAGAGAGTGCGGCCGCATCAAGGGACACGGCCGCCAACACAAAGCCTTACCGGCGGCAGGTGGACTCCTACGTGGGATGCGAGCCGCCGGAGCAGTGTGGATAGCAATCCGCCGGCCCCGAGGGCAGAGGCGGAAGGTGAGCCGGACGCAGACGAGGCGGGGACCGAGGACACCCAGGACAGCTGGAGCAGATGGCGTGATGATCAATGGTCCTACAGCTCCCAAGGATGGGGAGCCTCGACGTGGTGGAATTCAGGATGGTCGTGGAACAGGCCGGCATGGTCGGAACGACCGGCTGCGGAGAGCCCCATCCCGGAACTCCTCCCGGACTACGTCCAAGGATGGTATCTTCTACACGATTCGGGACTATCAGGTGCAGAGCGGAATGTGGTGCAGACGGCACTACAAGGAGACTTCTCCTTGTCTCGGGTGGCCCAGGAGTTGCGGAACCAATGTGCGGTGCTGGACAACCAGCGCAAGGAGTATGGCAGCCGCAATAGCGGCTACCTCGGGGACTACCAGGACTCCGAGGTGGGGAACGAGGAGCACATTGACGACGGGTTCCTGGGCGACCTGCCGGACGAGGAGCTTGAGAACTGGGAGATGGCGGAGCACGAGGCCCAGGAAGCGATGGCGGCGATGCACGCGGCTAAGCGCACGCTTCGAGATGCGCGACAGCGCCAATCCAACGTCAGGTTGGCCCGGCAGTACTTCCGCACCAATGCCGGGAACCATGGAGCAAAATCGAAGGATCCTCCGAAGCCGCGGGACGACTCGAAGATCCACTGCTTACGCTGTGGAGTTCTGGGCCACAGAGTGGCCAACTGTCCAATGCCAGCACAGGCAGCGAAGACGGCGGAGGAGGTGGAAGCCACATCCTCTTTCATATGCTACAGTGATGAACAGCACTCCCTGGCAGCGGAGGCCGAGGACCAGTCTTTCGCCACAGGCATCAGCACCAACGAGGCCGTCGCGCAGGGCAAGGCAGTGATCGATGGAGGAGCCACGCGAACCCTGGCTTCATGCGCAGCGATGGAGGCCATCATGGCCTTGAATGCAAAGAGGTCGGGGCACAACGGCGTTTTGAAGATTGACAAGGAGAACTGCCCCACCTTCGGCTTCGGCAACGGCTCCACAAATCGTTGCACGGCCACCGTTCAGCTCGCCATCCGCGCCGACCAGAAGCCTGGAGCCTTGACTGTACATTGTTTGGACCAAGGTGCGGGGCCGCTGTTGCTGTCCGTAGACACCTTGCGACGGCTAAAAGCCGTGATAGACTTTGAAGCAGACCTAGTGTGCTTCCGTGCACTAGATGACACCCGCTTGGTCTCTGTAGAGCGCTCTCAGACGGGACACCAGCTCATTCCTATGACTGAAGATCTGTACAAGTGCAGCCTGGTCGCCAAAAGTGCGATCCCGAGCCTTCGTGATCTCGTCCGAGACCAAGCCTAGGGACAGCTCCTTCCTCCTCCTGATTCCGGGGAGGCTGTGAAGGTTCAGACAAACACGGAACCTGGGGTGAAAACCACTCTGAGCACCACTGCTTTTTGTAGTGATCTGGAGTTCAGGAGTGTTGATTGTGGTAGTGTTGTTGTGAACAATGCTAATTCGAGTAAATTGGGAAATGAGTCTGTGCAGAGAATGACGACGCAAACGACAGCGACGACACCGAGCACCTGCCGAAGTTGGACCTCGACGGCCGCAGCATGTACTGATCAAGCTCAAGGACAGCTGTTAGCGCCACCAAGCCTTTGTGACCCACTTCCAAAACATGCCGAAGTCCACCAAGGCAGACCTCCAGGCGGAGCTTCTGGAGTTGGGCGAGGAGGTGCCCAGCCGTTGGACGAAGATGGAAATGGAACAAAGGTTGAGGGAGCTTCGCACCCAAGGCTTAGCAGACAACGAGGAACCAACCGCTTTGACCGAGATGGAGACCATGACCAAGGAGCTCCGCCGAGCAGCGCGCAAGAAGGCGACGCTGATCACCCATTGCCAGGACATCCTGGGAATGACGCTGACCGGGAACGAGACGATGGCCGTGCTGGAGGGCAAGGCGCTCACCAACATCATGAAGCGGAGCACGCCCGAGGGCGGCGACTACGTGGGGTTTGGATGCCACGCGAAGGAGCGCTACCGCACCATCCACCGCGACTTCCCGGACTACGCTCAGTGGGTGAAGACGACCTACCAGGAGTCGGGCGACCAAGGAGTGGATGCCCGATTGGCCAGGTTGGCCAAGTGGCTGGAGCGACAGCCCCCGGCGACACAGAAGCCGTCGCCGCAGCCGAAGACGCATGGCTACATGACGGTGCTCAAGGACAACCGACCTCGAGGACCTCCCGGAAGAAGGTCCGATTCCACAGCGCGGGGCAGTGCGGATGCTGCGCCGAGCGAGAGCGACAAGAAGCTGGCGATGATGGCCGAGACCTTGGACTTGTTGCGAGCCGAGATTGCGGAGGTCCGAGCCGAGCGGCCCCGCAAGACTGTGGCTCGAGCCGACGAGGAGATGACGGACTCGTCCTTCAGCCTGCTGTCCGAGATCGACCGCGCGAAGGAGGCGAACAAGAAGTGAGTGCAAGCGGTTCTGAGGATGTAGAGGAGTACAGGCCTATGAGTGCTTCTCAAAAGCTGAGCGCTGAGTTGAGAAAGATGAAAGTTCAGGATCTCAGCGAAGCGCAAGCTAGGAATCTTGAGGATCAGGCATGGTCCATTGTACCGCAATTGTTCCAAACTCTCGTGGGCCACAACCGCCCATATTTGATGGAGTGCGAAGCGCGAGAGAGCTTACTGTCGAGCACAATCCGCGCCCAGGCAAAACGAGAGGAAGCAGCCACTACATGTCTGCTGTGCAACGGCTGTGAGCTAGCATCGGATGCAGGCATCAGATTGATCATGCAGCGTATTGATGTGGAAAAACCTGTTCATGTCTGGCTCAGCCCCCAAAGTAGTCCTTTCTCCCCCTTCCAAAACACGAATCAAAGAACCTCTGAGCAGAAACTGGCTCTTCAAGAGAAGAGACAACAG